ATGATAGAACCTCGTAATAACTTCCACCAACAGCAGCAACGACAGAATATAGAATGATTATACACACCAAACAAACCGCTTCAACGCTCATTCACGGATACCCATCATACATAGTAGCAACCCTGATATCCTCTTTAGTTAGGGAGTACAGAGCAAGGGCTGAAAACTCTCATGTCGATTCACCTAATAGTACTAGGTAATATTTAATAAATATCACCACAGTAACGAGAGCAACCTGGAAAGCTTTTCAACAAATAGACGTTCAATACAGAACAACGGCAAGAATAGAAAGAGAAGACAACAGTGTGATTACGAGAGAGCTACCATCCACGAGGTGAGAAGCAAAACTGGAAGGCTGCGGCGGGACACCTGGGGAAGTTCCTTGACCATTGTCGTTATCCGGATCATAAGGATTCCAAGATGGCGCGATAGTTGTTGTAGTAGGTTGAGGATATGAACAGTTCACAGCTGGCAACCATCCACTAGGCTGGTAACCAGGAATAGCAGTAACAGGAGATGTTGATTTGAAAGAGTCACACTCGCATGTAACAGTATCATTGCCATAGCATACACGTCCAGCGGGGATTTGCCAAGACTTGCAATAAGAGCCCTTATCCTGACCGGGATCAATGATAATGCCACCAGTGGGGACCACAGTTGGGAAAGCAACATTAGCTTTACAATACGAATCCCAGCAAGGACCTAGCACAGTAGGGTCAGGTGTAATGCACGGACTACCAGGGAACCACATTGTATCATGGCACCAGCCAGCCGGACAAAACAACTCAGTCGCTGGCACTGTCGTCGGAGCAGGGGGAGGAGGTGTTGTAGTGATTGGTATTAAAGTTGTGGGCACGTCCATTACAGCAGCACCCATCCTAGGTGCTGCACTAAGAGGCGATCCTGACGATGATAATGTCGTTGAATTATCTGCCAATACACCAACCACCAGACAGAGCGACAGGATAGCCTTCATAAACGCCGAATAAGAAAACAAAGGTGAACGTGAAAATGGAGAAAAACTACTCAACTGTGGAAAGGGACATAGCTAGGACATCACGACACAATTTCTGCGTACACGTAGTACTTTTACGCTAGTTTGGTTTGGTACGTACTACGTACCAAAACAAACTAATGTTCGATTACTAGAGTGGATAGGAGGCCTTGAGCCCAACACAACCGGCAAGTGGTCAGTACATTAATGTTCACCACAAAACACGAGCTGTCGAAGCAATAAAGCTTACAGTACTCGGGAGTGGACACAGTGTGATGGCGCCTTGCCTGGCTCTTAGGTAGATGATACAGGTAGAGAGGGCTATTATCGTGAGGGTCGCATCACATGATTACTTGACCATTGATGGGAACTGAATCCTTAATGGCCTTGAATGGTAGGAGGAATGCTCCATTAATGTACAATTCAGGTTTGATATCCACCTAACCAACAAGCCAGATGAGGATGGTTGTGGGAATTGAATTCGGGACTCACGCTTTCAGCAGCAACCGTCATAGGATCTACTCGAGTCCAACTACCAACTCGTGATTTCCACCCAATAATGGAGCCAGAGACAGTGGCATAGTCAGATACCTAAGAATAGCAATAAGGAGAGTATGCATGGTAGTGAATAATTACCACTGCATTGTCCATGACAGCACTATCCTTCACACGGCATCCTCGACCGATGATAACACCTGGGCCTATGGTCACATCAGGACCTAACTTGGAACCCTCTCCTATCTTAGCTGTGGGATCTATCAATACCTGATAATATGATACCACCACGGACTGAGCGCAACGATAACTTACGTTGCCCACTATCTCCACGCCTGGGATACACCGTACTAACTTCTCATGTGGCTTAGCCTAAGATAACACTACTGGCAACATATTCAGTAGTAATTAAACTCGGAATATCCCACCCCAGAGTAACCAGCATAGGTTTCAATGTGTTTCAACATGGATGATATTAATTCTTTACTACTACTACTACCTTGTTCTCGTCATTCTTCTGGGATAGGAAATTCAAATGCATACTCATTCCTTTGAGATAATCCTTAGGTTGGCCTATATCAGCCCAATATCTACAAATGATTTCAAGAAGTTAACATGATGGAGCAGGGTGGGTACCGACCCTTCCAGTTGGAAGCAATAGAGCTGACCATCGACTGCCATTTGAGGGAACACATCAGTCTCGATCATCATGAACCGAGGATGGACCCTCTGTTCTATAACCGAATTTGATAGGATATATCTAATAGGGATGTGATGATATGGTAGAGGGTGTGGTCGCTACAGTCCAGCATTTATCCTGTCTCCTACGAACTCCTTAGGCTTCTCAACAAAACGATCGATCTTACCAGTCTGGTCATCGTATACTACCACACCGAACCTACAAAATAGGTTAATAATTGAGGTACACACAATACTATACCCACCTGGATGGATCCTCGACTTTAGTCACTACAATGGTACCCTCTCTACCGTGGTTCTTATGGAACCTCAAGAGATCCTTCAAAGGGAAGTCACATATGACATCCGAATTAAACACGAAAACAGGTTCATCATCAGATAGGAGGATATCACGTGCTAGATACAACTGATAACAAGGGATGATGATGACCATAAGCCCATATACTAATAGTAGTAGTCGTACCGGTCCAGCAGTGCCTAGTGGCTCTGTCTCGATGCTGCATGTTATCTTCACATCATACTTGGCCTCCATCTCCTTAAGGGCATGTTGCATATGTTCAGGTTGGAAGCCCACAGCAAGGACGACATGATCCACCCCACACTCTACCTGAAGAGGGCAGCAGATAGCTGTATACCTCGTATAATCACGCTACTACTACCGCTGCAGCAATCTGATGCTCTACAATGGGTAGGTTACAGAAAGGGACCAATGACTTGGGGCTAGTTAGCGTTAGAGGACGCAGTCTAGTACCGTAACCACCAACTAGGATTAAACATTTCATAACAACACCAGGTGGAGTAGTGCTGACGGTAGGGAAAGGCAAGGGGGTGACACCAAAAACTGATGAGGATGATGATGATGATGATGATGATGATGATGATGATGATAGCCACTCTGGAATGCTGTAATACCACTATAACACGATACTATGAATGGTAAGATACGACTATTTCGAGTGCGAGTCGAGTTGGCAAGCTTACATGCATAAAATGACCTTGGTACATGGTGAGATTGGTTGTGGAAGGATGCGTACTCAGCGACGTCTTCTTCTCCTCCTGTGATGGCTGCCCTGCTTCAACATCTGCCGCATGAGCTCAATCTTATACTCCAGCATGTCGAGATTGCGTGGATGGTGCTCCCCATGAGGTTGGCCAGATCCGTTAAGATGGCCTATGATGACGGGGATCTTCACAGTCAATGAGGACCCAGTCCTACCAGCTTCGGGAATACCCCGTAATATGCCCACTAAAGCATTTATATCATCAAGGGAATGCTGGAGGCTTCTACCAGAGGTGGGCTCACTGTCCTTTCGTACGCTAAAAATAATAACGAGGGTATAGGCAAAGGGTTGGGGTAATGCACCTTCTTCCAGTAGCGGTACAGAGCCCGCTAGCCTCCAGACGATGAGCTAAGTGAGGTAGCTCTCGATGCAATAAGTACATAGCCTCATGACATGCTGGGGTAAGCCGTCGACATGATGCAGTCGCCCTGCACTAACAGCATTTACGTATGCTCTACAATAGAGAGCCAATACAATGTATGGTAGCGGATGGTGTCCTCTATTATATCATATACAGTATGGTGGACAGTAGGAGGATACCTATGAGCTTCATAGGCAGCAATCCATTACAGAGCGTACCCATCCCAATCCTGTGACTTCTTCAATATCATAGCTTTCCTGAGGATGTCGGATACCATTTTTTGCCCATCGTTATGAGAACGACTGGTAGGCTTCCTGTCAGGTCGAGGGGCACTAGGATCCTAAGCAGATGCCATCAGAAGGGCTTTGTGGCTTATCCAAAACTAGGAGGAGCATACTTCATAACGTCTATACTATACCATAATATATTCCCTACATCCCTCATTCCCCCAGCCACCTTATAACCTTCCCCATCAGTCAAGTCTACCCTCTCGACACGACCAGATCTGGGAATGCATAATCAAGACTGCAATTCTCATAGCTTCCTACGTTGCCCTATCCCCAGTCAACGATGCTGGCGATCCGCTGGGTGTACCATGATCAGCACCAGACCGCCGTGTCGGTCCTATCCCCTCACTAGGCGCGCTTGCAGGCCGGAGTGTTCCCTGAGGTTTATAGTACTAGGCGGAACTTATAGGTTGCATTCCACTGTGTACAGCACACATTGTGATGAAGCTCCTTACCATAGCATTATTACGACGGATCACGGAGGAGGAGGCGGCAGAGGACGGCCTCGATGGATGCTGAGGAACTGCTGTTGATACTGATCCACTTCCCTCACCGCTACCAAGAGCCTATACCGAGTATACCTTGTACACTCCTGGAGATTACTACTCACCCTCCTCGTGGATTCATGAGATGGGGGTGAGGATTCATGATCAGAGGTAGTCGGGTAGAGGCAGCCGCCTAGCCATCAGATTAGGTAGACGAGCTCACCAGCATAACACCTCACTAGTCCTAGGTACAGGCCTCCCGATGCCCTCCATACTACGACGCCATACTCGAGATATGGACATCCTGTGATGGCTAGAACCCTCCTGTACTACAAGGATTCCAGTCATTACTTCGGATAGACCTCTTCGATACCGCTGAGCCTGGCCCGGCTTTCCCTCTGCTGATCCACTGACATGGACCGTTCAGCGACCTAAGCCTGCTGCCCGTACTATGTACTGGTTACATTATTATTACAGGGATTGGGGATAGTCTAGTAATACCATCCCAACTGCATTCGACATCCCTCAATCCCAAGTCTAAGAGTGCCCTAGTCATCAGTTCCGCCTACGACAGGTAGTCTGATGATGAAGAAGAGCTAGTATCACATCTGTGGGGGGTTGCCTCCTCTGTGGCATCCTTCTGTCAAGTTTAAAGTCATCTGCTGGAGAAAAGACACTGTCTTAATGATGACATTCCCTACTGATCGTTGGCAATATGGTAGATCTTGATGATGAGGATGACGATGATACTGATGGGTGTGTTAGTAATCCTTTCCCCCTGTGATCCTCTTTCACTTCGGAGAGTAGTGATGGGGCCTCTCTAATAGGTAGGCCCAGCATATGACGAAGGTGTGGTACGGTCAGACACCTAGACATTATATATACATAGAATATGGTGGTAGTGGTCTACTACTCTGCCTCACCGACTGGCAGCCTGTACTCGTAGTATGATGATAAGGCGCTGTAGCCATTTGGGTTCGCCTTGAGGGAAGTAGTAGGCCTACAGTCCTAACTCTATTCGTTACCATGAATACCCATAATACTACTTCCTATCCGACCCTCGTTCATCATACTCCCAGCTAGACCGTAAAGCCCGAGCCCTACAATTAATAACCAGTATTAATACCTCACAGGATCCCCACTTGAGGTCTTCTATGTCGTCCCTTAGCCGATCATCCGACATAGACGCCTTGGCCGCCGCATTGAGCATTATCTTCAGTTCTTCCGATACCATGATGGATTGGATAAGTCAACATCAATAGAGTAGAGTTCCTTGTCGGCGAGGGCAGGAAGGAGTTCATGCATCTCTTGGCGGCAGTTAGTCAAGTTCAAGGAGTCCATATGTTACCTTCCTATAGCATTACATCACACGTTACCGACTCCCTAGAGGAGGTATGAGGTACTCAACATAGCAACAACAACAACAACAACAACAACAACAACAACAACAACAACAACAACAACAACAACAACAACAACAACATGGATTCACACGTGAAGGTTTGGTAAGAGAGCAAGTTGTCAAGGTTAGTGCTAAGAACGACGACGACGATCATTGCCGGTCGTGGTGGGCTCTTACCACCAACATTCTTAGACATATTCGCCTGTAATATGGCCCCGCCTAGGGATCAACAGTCTAATAGGAGGGCGGTAAGGCTGAGTGGTCGGACATCCGAGGAAGGTAGCAGTCGAAGCCCTACTAGTAAGCGATCTAGGGAGGAAGATAAAGATGAGGACCAACATGTAGGGAAGGGAGGATCATAGGAGATAGGGTGATGGCTACTATCAGACATCCACACGATCACGCCGACACCAGTCTGGTGATAGTCGGATAGGAGTTACTCTTACACCTGCTGCTACTCCATCTCTACTCGGGCAGGACAGGAAAAGGCGCACATCATCATCATCCTCACGTGAGGCCATAAGCAATGAGGAGTAGTATTCCTATTATAGGGGCATTAGGGCTATGCTGGGAATAGATACGATGATGGTAGTGGTGATAGCCGACGCCACATCCGACCACGTCGGGCTGTTTTGAAGGATAGTCAGGAGGAAGATAGGGACCGAGAGGAGGAGGGTCCGAGGGATGGCCAGTCTTGGTATAAGCAAGGAAGGTAATGGCCGTAGTCTATGGGATTAGAATATGAAGATTCCATCTCTAGTGGAGATGATAAGGGAGACAGGGAAGGTGATAAACGGCCAAAGCATAGTGGGGGTATTCATGCTAGCTACGAAGCTCATATAGAGTAGGTTAAGCATGAAGCTAGTCTATCATTGCTCGATATCAGTCATCGTGGTAGCCATGGTGATGGTCAACGTATTGAGGAAGAGAGCCGTAGGGGTCGGAGGCAGAGAGATCGTATGCCCTTCTACCTCCTCGTATCGTATGAACTATATTCACGTTCAGGATCTCGTCATCCTAGTAGAGAGGGTTCTCGATGGTATGATGATCGCGATGCTGCTGAGTCTCCTAGACGAGCCCGGAGCCGGTAGTAGTGTCGCTGTTGTATATGGCCTAATGAAGCCTTTTCAGTGATGGTCGGAGAGACGACTTGGACGCCAGCACTGCTCATAGTCATCGTTATCACCGTTCACGGGGTCGTGAGGATCCTAATGACGATGATGGTGAGGAGTGGTATGCAACTGGCAAGAGCAGGTGGAGAGAAAGCGGGGGCAGGTCATCATGGGGTATTAGGGTTATCACTATCGCTACTCCCTGGCTTATATCCCACTACTGTGCTCAGGTCGGGGTAAAGGAGGTAGTAGACCTCTTCTTCCCCATCATCATACCGCTAGTCGGGATTTCGAGCCGAGAGGGAAAATAGAGGGTGTTGCAGAACACATGTCCACCACGCAGTTACTCATTGTCGCTATCAGGGTCGTCTACGGGTATGGGTTGGGTCTCTACCTAATGCTATCTCTGATGATGAGTTCTATGATATCATGTCTCGTTACGGTGAGGTAGAAGGTATGAAGCTTGTAGCATTGAAAGGCTTTGCATACGTGAAGTAATATGCCTAATCAATTCCACTCCTGTGGCAACTTGCGTGTTAGATATCGGGATGAGGAATCTGCTGATGCCGCAGTGAAGATACTCAATGGTGAGGTCTTGGATATTGCTGGGGATAAATCTGAGCATGTCGGATTGAAGACCAAAGTAGACTATGTCGAGGATATGGAATATCTCCATCATCCGTAATCATAATACTCATAAGTAGACTATAGGTAGGTAGTCATAACAGGTATAAGCCATCGATGGATAAGAAGCCTGATATAGTGCATACTCTATTCGTGGGCAATCTACCTGTTGAAGTCACTGAGCAGGATATACGGCAGGTAGTATTGTCTATTATAACTACCTCATTATCAAGCTGCTCGTCTTAGTTCTTCGAGCGTGACCCGAGTATCAGCATCGAGCAGGTTGCCTTACGTAGAGGGTCATACAAGCAGATGTGTTATGCCCATATTAGGTATTAGTAGTAGTAGGGTATGTGGTGGGGATATACTCCTCCTACAGGTTTGCGGGAGATGATGATGCTGAAAAGGTTGTTGCTGAGTTTGCTGGTGACAAGATAATAGGTCGCAATAGGGTGAGACTAGACTGGGCTCAGGATAAGCATATGCAAGTAGTGATAGTATCGGGTAGATGCTGGAGGTGTTTTATTGATGCTTCTTAGGTCAAGAAGAACGAGTATCTACGTGGAGCAACCCCACGTATATACATTGGTAACCTACATGATGGTATGTCTGAGGATGCTATTAGGGATGCTTTACAGGAGGCATTCGGTACAGTAGTAGCCATGAAACTACATAGAGATAGGTAGTAGTAGTAATGAGAATGAAGTTATACCATGTATGGTACCAGGAATGGAGCTCTAGCTTATGGTTATGTTACATTTGAAGACAATCATACGGCAGAGAGAGCTGTGGATGAGATTCCTAACATGTACACCGGCTTATGTGCTCTCCTCCCTACTCACTATGGATCTTCCAGACGAATAGCTAATTCCTCGATACGGGCTGATTTTGCTAAACTGTTGGAGCCGAGAAGAACTCCCCCTCCTCCTGCTGCAGGAGTAGTAGCAAGAGTTATGTGCATCCAAGTACCTCTTCAATGTTCAGGCTAGGCCTAATATGGTAGGGCAGCAACCACAGTTATTGGGAGGTGGTTATGGCCAACAGCAGGGAGGGGAGTTCGATCCATCAGTGGCCAGTGTATTAGTGTTCATTGCCTCGGTGTCGGGCAATCATAATGATCATCATCTGATCAGATGTACGCAGCTGGTGGCCAACCACCACCACCTCCCCCACCTCCATTTGAGGGTGACAATGCTTACGCGCCCCTCAACAAGAGTGCCAATAGGCAGGAGCGACGATATGGGTAGGTTACACCAGTGTCATGGTCAACTGATGTCGGCTCGAGTGTTCAGGTCCACTACCGGCTCAGATAGGAGCCCGTCGATTGAGCGGGATACTAATGTATCATGGACTGTACCTGAAGAGTGAGTCCATCCTGTAGGATGCTTGTCATTAAGTTTACCAGGTTTTTGGAGGCCCATGATGAAGACCACCCTTACTGCTCGGACTCAGACTACTACTATGGTACTCCATACATAAAGGATACCACTCCTCGTCCACTTCCTTCTCCTGCTACACTAACCAACGAGAGGAGTAGGAGAAGGAGGACAGAGGAGAGGTCTCCAGGACGACACCATTAAAGCAGATCATCATGTATCTACTACTCCCCTTACCATACCGTCCCCACTGTATCCTTCACCCTCGTTCGGAGTATATCGTACTGTTATACCGTTTCATTTTACCTATAAAATAGATTGTTAAATTGGAGATGCCCCGGGTCTCAGTAGTTTAAGCATGAGGCGTCCTTATAATGACCATCACTTCTGGCAAGAACGTATTGAATGGGAGAGAGGCTGTTCAAAGCGATCATCAGCAGCAGCCTCTAGGATAGCGGCTGCACTATCAGCTGTAAAGGGGAGGAATGGGGTGAGGGTGATGAATTGGGAGTGTGAGCTTATTCATGTATAGTAGGCCACAGCCAATCGTAGGCGACGAGGGACCTCAGTGAGATCTATAGCAACGGAGTTGAGCAATAATACGTTGAAGAATGGTAAGTATCTCATTGTGTATGACTATTGATGCGTGTCGGCTCCATCGGGATAATCGATCGTGAAGGTACCCTTCAACGGACCACATCTTCCTCCCGTTTTACCGCAGACCCTTCATACGGTATACCATCACCTTCCTCTTACTACTCATCGTCTGCTCGTAATAGCAGCTATGCCCCCAGTATCAGTAGCAATACTAATAGATCTATTGATCTATGCTCGAGTAGGGACTTGGTACTCTCACAAGTATACAACTGATCTACCTCAGGTTGCCGTTGTGATGAGCATCCTAGTGCAACCACGGCCAGTTTAAGTCAGCATCCTCCATCTCATCCACCACCATCATGTTATTCACTATCATCTATGGGTAACAGTGTGAGCAGACAGAGAGCTTCCAAGACACTGAGCCCATCCTCCTGTTTATCTATGACCTCAGCAGATGTTGAGAGGCTAGTTCAAGAGGAGATAAAGCGTGCCTTGATCCCGATTCAAAGTGAGCTCCAGGAGGAGAAGGTAATACCTATTGGGTGCGCCAGCATACAATCCCTCCATAGGCCCGTCGTAAGAAGGCCGAAGAGACTCTACTGTCATTAAGCCAGCGCAAGGTTGGCTAGGGACGACAGTAGCGGTACCCGACTTACGACCCTTGAGAATGTTTATTCACCATCACTCTGGTACTGCTCATGCTGACGCCGCTGTACATGGTCCTAGTGTTGTGCTCTATACTAAGTTGTTCCGCGTTAGTAGTGTATAGAAGGGGAAGTACTATATTAAAATCGGGTGCCAATGTGCAAGTTGGCAAGTGATAGATGAGATAGGTGATGGTACTTGGACTGTTCAATAGTCTCACTTACCAGGTAATCACTCTAATCACCATTTCTCTCTTGTAGCACTCGAGGGTCCCAAAGGCTATACCAGGGATACTACCCAACTAGGGCTAAGTCCCGTACTACCTCATGTCAAGGATCCGCTACGACTGGTAAATGCCTGCCTTCGAGGAATGGTGGTGACTATAGACATTGTGAGGTTGGATACCGCAGGTATCAAGCCAATTACGGGATGGCTGATCCTTCTCCTGGAGTATAGTGCTCATCATCATAGACACCAATTGACAGTATGCCCTATTGTGAGGCGAATTTCTGCTGTTCAAGATCAGTCTTCCGCCTCAACCTCATCCTTGGACGATGGTGCCGCCATCTTGGTGCTGATGTCCTATCGATTGAGGAGTGCATCAGCGGCTTTTCGGAGTGGATGGAAAACCGCCTTTTGGAGCCTCTCAACCCTTACACCTCATCCTTTAGTAGTCAACTAAGGGTGACTCATGTTACCCCTGCCTTCTAGTTCACTCTATATATCAATGGCTCCGCCTCGCTCCCGGAAAGGGCATGGTGACAGGGCGGATGATGATGGTAGTAAGCCTACTCGGAAGGAAGATCTCGCGAACCTCTTTGGTGATGATGATGCTGATAGATATGGTGTGGGGGATGATAAGGTACTAGCAGCAGTTGCGTGTCACCACCACCTCCATCATCATTTGCAGAGAGCCCTTTTCGAGTCCTTCAAGAGTGAGTCGTCGGCCAGAGGAGAACAGGTACCTCGCCACCGTAGACAACACCACGAAGAGGAGGGTGGAGGGAGAGGAGGAGGAGTATACTATGCTAATAATACCCCATCGTAGGGCAATCATCATTGGATATCCAGTATTCATAGTACTGTTCATCCAGAGGTAGTAAGAGCAAGTCCCAGGAGAGAGCGGTAGCAGCAGCCCAGAAGGCAGCAGCCAAACGGTCTAGGGACTCTGAAGGTGTAGGTGTAGTGGCGGCTGCTGCCGATACTCCTACTATTCATGGTGCCCACTCAGTTTACCTGGAAGAAGGTTTCTATCGGTTTACTCTTCCTGTCCCTTTTCAGTGCTGGTGCCTTCTCTACGGTAATACCTTGTTCCTCCATTAAGCTAAGAATACTGTAAACTCTGTCATTACCGTGTTTTCATGTCAAAAAATATTTGTCGTCATATTCCCAGCATGGGACGTGGCCATCTAAGTACCCGTTAGATACTCACGATATACGACTTCTTAGCTGCTGGGTTCAAGAATATTGATATTGAGGACGCGCCTGCCCTGAGGAAGGTAGAGTGGTTCTAACTTCTACCACTCGAATGATTCACCTCAAGTGTAGGTATTACTATCAGGAGATCCCGCTCTAGTGTACTGTTTTGATAAATCCATGAAGGTGAATAAGGTTCCCCAGGTAATACACCAGCATCCTAGTAGAAGCTTTCTTGTGAGCGTGTTGGTAGTAGGTGCTAAAAGATGCAGATAGGGATCTACGAGGGATAGCCTCTACCTACACTATGGATTGCCATCAGCCTTTGCCTGACTCTGGCAAGAGCATTTATCAAAAGTATCTCTTCGGTTTCGCATCCTTCATCCCATATCGAAACTATCAGATACAAGTTTTCAAATAACCTGATGCCAGCCTTTGTGGTAGCGAATGGTGACCGTCCTGTCCAACTAAACTCCAACTCTATGGCGAATTCACAGACTGTTGTGGAGTTCGTGAAGGTTCGTACCAAACCCATAGTCCGGTAAGCAACATCAACAGCCTCTAGTATTCCCGACCATGCCTCTGTTTGGGGTAGGTTCGCTAAGAATGCTAAGCAATTGGATGGGATGTGCCTTAGCCGTCAGAAATGCCTTCTTATTGGGTACTATTCTACAACAACGACAGGCTCTCCAGCATCATCTGGTGTAGATACCGCACTAAGTTCCCTGATCAAGTGAGGAAGGTTGTTAGAGAGGCAATGATGTCCCATAGGGGATTGCGGGTCGTGGCTTTGGATACATCCAAATATAGAGTGAGATTCCCCGACGTCATCATCACCTTCGATAGTCATTCCTCATTCAGCTTAAGATAGATCCTGCCATAGTACCATCTAATGAGGATAGTGGCGAGAGCGAGTCGAAAGGGAAGAGGACAGGGAAGAAGAGCATGAGGAAGACTCTGTCCTTTATGTGTTTGAATACCCCTGATAGGAAGGTAGACCTGGATGGTCCCACCAAAGGTATACGAAGGTGTTGTGTATCACAAGTACAGTCCTTATACAGGTATGGTAGAAGTGTTATCACTCGTGGATAAGGGTAAGCAACTTGAAAGGGACTATGATGCAGGTAATACCATCGTAATGCACTCCTTTGATAATAGCAATACTCCCCAGTATCCTTTATCAAAGAATGCGATTCGGGTACATCATCCAGCATGAAGGAAATGCTCGATCTACCCTCGATATGTACTACACCCATACTATTCCTTCTAGCAGCATGTCATACTAGCCCTCCGCCCACCCAAACAACCTAAAGCTCGTCAGCAAGAACAACAGCAGTCGTCCAGCGGTAGTGCAGCTGCTAAGAAGGGACATCAAGGGTCTCGAGAGGCCGAGAAGGACGAGTTGGGAAAGCAGAGTGGAGGAGGAGGAGGGCGTGATGCTCTAGAGGAGGATGAGCCTCCTGTTATAACTGATGTTGATGATGAAGGTTGGCTATAACATGGGATTACTGTTGTATATGTATGTCCTCCAGATGCTGAATGGGATGCGCTACTCAATATGGAAGAGGATGATGATGAAGACGAGGAACTCAACTTATACTGATCAGTGTTTATGATATAGCGTTTGAGAGCAAAGGATCGAATAAGTCTTCCAGTGTTGTAGGAGAGAGATACTCTCAATACGGTATGGATCATACTGCAGTTGCTGTACTGTCCATTTCCCATTTTTCTTTGATAAGCTCTCGAGTGCTCCCATCACATCTCTCAAGACATGGACGTCCCTCTACTATCCTCCCATACCCCCGCCACCGATAATACCAATCAGGGAGCTACTTCCTTGGCTCCAGAAGGGAGCCTTATCTCATCAATAGAAGAGAGTATTGACGATGGTAATAGTGTAGTGTCGACTGCAGAGCCAACGAGCTACCCCCGACCGACCTTACCTCTCCGACCAGCTTATCGACCACCTACCGATAGCGGGGTAGGAGACATTCTCAGCAGCAACCGTTAACGGCGAGTATTCAGGTTCCTCGAACAGCATCAGCTCCCAATCTACTAGTCTCACAACGTAACCTGTCCAGTAAACTAGTTTCGATGGAGCCTATCCCTAATGGTGATGGCGATGCCATGATAGAACACCATCCTCACCACGATGCATCGGGCATGGAGAGGAAGATCACCCTCTCAGGCATGGTAAGATCTTTGCTGCAGTACACTCAATGCCGTTAATATCCATTCTTTAACTTTTAGGTGAAACCTGTTGCTGGTGGTATCATATCAGGCTTGGTGATTGTCTTTCGTATTGTATCTCTAGCATCAGTATATTTTTCTGACCCTTTAATAGCACCATGGATAGGTGTATGTCAGAACTCTATATTGATATCAGCAATGCTGAGTCAATTATTCCATTGTAATCATAAAATCAAAGGGCTTATAGCAGCCCCTTCAAGTGTTGGTCTACCCTTTCTATCCACCATAACAGCAGCTTATGTTGATGCTGCTGGTAATAATGCTAAACTAGCCGTATCTGAAGTACTCACGATATTTGGTGCGACTACTCTGGCCTTCGGATTATTCCTGTCTATCGTTGTCCTCATTGGAAGGGATTATCTAGACACTATCAAGTCGGGCTTCCCTCAACCCGTCATATATGGTTTCTTCACTGCTGTGGGTCTGGCTATGTGCAAGTCGTCCAACGACACAGCTGTAGGGTTTACCATCAAGACCTTTGATGACTTTGTAAGTATGATACAGGATAAGACCCTCCTTTTACAGTCTATAGCTGGTTGTGTATGTGGCCTTATGAACAGGTTTGGCAATAGATGGTTTCCCAATCCTCTCCTCTTACCTTGTATTTTCATAATTGAACTGTTCCTATTGTATGGACTAGTGTGTGGTATATTGGATCTATCATTGGCGGATGCTCGAGAAGAACGATGGCTATTCGGCAGCCTGCCTTACCAACCTTTGAGTGCTCTGGTCGAGGACTATGGTAACCCTTTGAAATTCGACTATGGCTACCTGTTCTCCGAATACTCTGTTGCCATATTCTCGATGTTTGTCGTTTACTTTGTTGATATGAGTGCAGGGGCAGTTGTGAGTACCACGCCCCAATGCTGGGTCGATCATCCCATCTCTCAGGTTCCATTGGAAGCTACTTCACATGTGGAATTGAATATGAAATCCGAGATTGAGCGAGCCGCTATATCCAACTCCGTGTGTGGTCTCATAGGAGGTCATAATCATCAACCATATTCATCTCCTTATCGAATCATCCTCCCCAGGTTCCGCATCCTATGTATCCTACTCTAACACTCGTATCAATCAAGATGCTGGAGGAGGCACCACACGTTGGTCCGGCTTCTTCTATGCCCTCACATGTTTCCTATGGCTTCTTGTGGGTCAAGACTTGCTACAGTTTGTTCCCAAGCCCTGGGTTGCTGGTAGCCCCCCTCCCCTCCTCCCATCCAGCTCCACTCTATCTTAGGTATGCTGTATCATATAGCTTTCGGTTATCTACTTGATGGTTTATGGGAACCTCGTCATCTTGTAAATGCTTCCGAGAAGTTTGTCGTGGCTCTGATTGCGGTAAAGTTCCCACGAGTGTTACTCGGCCATTCATGTTTCAGGTAGCATATCTATTCAAAGGAGTCGTATGGGCCATCTGTGCTGGTCTAGCTTTATGCTGCATGTAAGTCTAACATCACATGTCCTGTAGTGAGTGTTGTCATTTCTCAGTTACTTCACCCTGCGTGTGTCCTCAGCACCAGTAGTTACCTTCGAGACTGATGTTAGGAGTACCAAGGCACGGTAGGTATATCTCGTAAAGGATGAAGCCTTGTCATTGATAATCCCACTCGGTTCATATTCAGGACCATCGAGGAGATTAACATTTTGGACAACTCCTTTCAAGACAAGACTATTGTTGTTGCTAAGACCATAGCTAGTAGTCTCTTTTTCGGGTCTGGTGCCAGATTCTCCCAAGCTCTTACTAGCTACACGAGTGATTTTAAGAACACTCGTTATTTAGTGTTAGACTTCGAATCCCTAACTTCCATTGATTCAAGTGCTCTGGTATCGCTGAATAAGATACCCAGCCTATTGCCAATGACCGATGGTGGTGGTGGTAGCTTTGTCATTGCTAATTTGACCAAAGATAGCCAGGTGGAGCAGGTTAGAGAGTTCGTGAAGAAAGCTAAAGTTTTCGACGACTTGGACACTGCTTTAGAGTATGTAGAGGATAAATGTATTGTCACTCAGCTGTCGCAGTTTGAGATGCTGGAGTCTGGTATGGGGCTTGGTCCGATCTCGCGGCTTTCGTCACGAGTATCATCTAATGCAGCTGGTGCTGAGGAGGAAGATGAGGAAGCTAATCGCCTTTTATCGGAAACCTTTGGGTCTTCAGCTGCTGCTGGGTTGAATAGTTATGCTAATCTGCCAGCACTTGATAGCTATGAGGATCTTGCCAATCTATCATATGATATGTACGATCAACATCAACAACAACAGATGGTATACGAGACAGAGGAGGATAGAGTGACCATTATGAACAATCTGTGCCGGAAACTAATTGGGAAAGTATTCGGTTATGAGCTCATAAATACCCTCGCAACCAAGATGCAGCATATAGAGGTATCTCGTGGTGATGTCGTTTATGAAGAGGGTCAGATAGCAAGAGGAGCTTATCTATTGATATCCGGGGAACTCAGCTTGTACACTGGCCCTGTGAGAGTACATACTCATATGGGTGGTGATTTTAGTCCCCTTACACAGGCCAGAATAGGCCCAGCTATGGATATACCGAGGACTAGACGAGAGAATCATCGTATTAAAGTAGTGCGATCTGGTGAATTCCTATGCGATAGTGCTCTTTATGGTGTATTCCCCCACTCCAACACTATGATAGCGGACTCCTACGCTACAATACTCCTATTAACAAGGGATAGCGTACTCAGATTGGAACATGAGAATCCCAAAGAAGCTATGCGACTCCACTTTGTTATGGCTACCAGACTGTCTCGTGAAGTGGCGAGTTTGAGAGTAAAGAGTAAGTCCCGACGATCGAGAGGACGGATTATAAAGAGGTCTGAGTCTCGAAAGAGTATCGTTGGTGGTGAAGACAGGAGTGAGGTAATCACTCAAGCTGATGATAATGCTGGAGTTGGTGGTAGTGGCTGGCGCGGTTTATACAGACGTCTGACCGACCGACGTCAGTATGCAAGACGCCATATGAGTGCTTGTGACTGATGATATCCGATCATCATCTTATAGTGCATAGTAACGTACACGAGGCAATACTGTCTCTCCTTATGTGCCATAATAGTATCTAGTGCAACTGAACATCATCATCATCAAGCCACGGATGTACTATCATTTACTGCCGTGCTTGATGATGACTGTTCACTCATGCTGCTCACTTTGTTCACACTTGATACCTTTTCTCATCGAGCCCCTTCCTAACTGTAGAAGACGCCCTCGCCGCTACCCTTCCTTTAGATGGGTTCACTGTGGTAACCGAGGAGACGTTCTCAACAGCTCTTCTCTTCTGCACTCCTTTGTGCTGCTGCTGAATAAAAATCCGCTGTCCCGTCAGACTCTTGGAGTAGCGCCGTCTCTAACTCTGCTACTGAACTGTGTACATCGCGTTTTCGTGCTAGTGGCTGTTCTATCTTGCCTTTTCTGCGTCCACAACCCCGGCTGCTTCTCGTTGCAGTTCAACTTATCGGGGAGGAAGGCATCATCCTAATAATACCCTTTTGTCGGTAAATCTAGCCATTCAGGCCAAGTTATTACCCAACAGTTATAATGTATGGGAGATCGTCCACAGTAGCACCGATCCCTCCTGGTACATCATATTACACCCAGGACTTCGGCGGCCCATCATCATCGTCTTCTTCCTCTAACCGGGCAGATTGGAATACCGCCGCTCGACCACAACGGAATGATGAGAGCGGTCTGAGAGAGGCAGCAACTACCAACTACACCGCTGATGAGATTTGCAAGGACGGCATTGCAGGATTCGAAAAGCTTGAACAAGTTGGTCAAGGTGATTGCTGGACGAAGGCAATATATGATGTATGGTGTATTCATAGGTACCTATGGTGCAGTGTTCAAGGCTAGGCATAAGAAGACGGGTATTCTCGTAGCTTTGAAGAAACTAAGACTTGGAGAGGGCGATGTGTGCAGAGACGGTCTGCCCAAATCGGTAGGGTCGTCATCATCATTAGGCTGGGTCATTCACTCGGTTATCTTTGGTCAGGTTGTAAGAGAAATTCGTATATTGAGTCAGCTTGCCAATGGCCCCAACATCGTCCGATTATATGGCTTATGCAGCAGTGCGGCGACAGCACATAACCGGAATAGGTAAGGACCCCTTCAATGGGCTTATCATCCATCATTCTTCACAGAGGAAGTTTATACATGGTGGAGGAGTTTGCACAGCATGACTTGAGTGGTATACTAGAGGAGCGCAAAAGGATGCTTACAGTGAGTGCTCTGCTGTACTGCTCTACGAGTGTATACCAGCAATGCGCCTTCAGATACCAGAAGTGAAGTGTATGATAATACAGACCCTTCGAGCTCTAGATTATTGCCATCTCAATGGCATAGTCCATCGAGATATCAAGTGTGCTAATCTACTGGTGGATAGAAAGTAATGGAGATCGCGAGGGGAGCATCGCGGAAGTCAATCAGAGTTATTTCAGTGGCGTATTGAAACTTGCGGATTTCGGCTTAGCACGAGAATGCACATCGGTGACAGATCCAGAAGAGGAGGATGTACTTCGAGTAGAGGAGCGGCAACGGAAGGTGACTATATACAAATATGTCTACAGTGGATGGGTGGAAGAATATAGTAGTTGTGATTAGGCGGACGCCAGTAAGGACCATGAGACAGCAGCTCCTCCTCATCATCCAGCCCTATACACGAATAAGGTCATTACTTTGTGGTATCGGCCACCAGAGCTCCTCCTTGGAAGTAATAGCTCTCTTTAATAATCGCGATGTAGCCTATGATAGGTACGTCCTATGGACCAGAGGTTGACATATGGTCTGTTGGAGCCATTCTGGCTGAACTTCTGTTGCAGAAACCTATATTCGCAGCAGATAAGGAGAAAGGAGTGTGTCTAACAATCCAGCTGCTGTTGTAGACTAACGCTGTCACAGGTTTTCAATTTGATAGTG